TAAAATTATCTAAACATGCTTCAACATTTGAAATATAAAAAAAAGCTTAAATAGGGTTCTGGATAATATTTATACCTTTAAGTTTGATAACAGATCACTTTTAATAATAATATTCACTCAAATATTAAAAATTACAGTAAAAAAGGTTCTTCTGAACTACAATTTGCTGTTATCCACTAGTAAACCTAATTTAACATATACGTCAACAGCGTCCTAAAAAAATATATGTAATTATGTTTCTAGTATACCGTTTGCAATAATGTTTTGATTTCATTATTTTAAGTGTGTTACAACTGACCGTTTAGGATTTAATTAATTTTAGTTACAATTTATATTTATTACAGTTGTCATAAACTCCTTACATAATTTTCAAACTCCGAGTGAAATATAGGTATAATTTATTTAATTATTTAATGTTTCATGAAAATTAATTAAAACTCAATTCGACTCAATTACAGTAAAATTACCTATTTCTTTGTTTTATTTAGAATTTAAAATACAAAATATTTTATAAATATGGAAATAAATTCAATATAATTATTTTATAAATGGAAAGTTATACTAACTTAGTTGAAAAGGTTAAATATTAAGAAAGTTGAGATAACTGCTTGCAGAATTTTTAATCATAAAGTTAATTTTTGAATTATAATTACATCTTATACATATTATTAGGTACCTATGCAAAATGTAATGCTTATAAAATATGAAATATTTATCACAATAATATACCTAATAGAATACCTAATCATCACATTTCAATGTATTAAGTGTTACCTATTAATCATCATAAATAAAAATGTATCCAAGTTTTGGATATTTATAATACATATTTATTAAATTTCAATTGCATACAAATTTAAATGAATATATTCATAAATAAACCTACAAATGTTTAAATAGTTGTTTTTTCAAATTGTATGCAAATAATTTAAATTATACATATATCTGATATACCTATATCAAATATTTAGTTATAAATAAATAAGAATTAATCTTACCAAATTTACACTTTGAGGTCTTAGGAAGTAAAATGCAGTAGCATAAATAGTAGAGTAGAATAATGGCACGTGAGATATCAGTTGAAATATTCTTTAGACACGTGTACCTATACCACGTTAATGAAGTATGAGATGTAATAGATAAACTGATTGCTACTTCGTTGATTGTTTAGAAAAACCTTTTTCACACTGAAATCATCAAAAACATAATATTATGAAAATAAAAGTAAATAACATGTGCCAAGTAAGATCAGGTACAATGGGAGTGGGCTCTGAAGGGTAGGTGTCACCCTCAAACTATACATAATATTACAGATAACATTCTTGTTCATCAGTTAATTTTTAAAAAAGATTTATTCTTATAAGTCTCAATCAATATTTTCAATATTTCGTAGGTATATTTATGGTTTTTTGTTATTTTCTAAACGGAGTGTAAAGGTAATTTAAATTTAAATTACTAAGGTACATATTTAATTTTTAGATTTTAACCTACCGATTTTTAAATTCTTTTATCTGACCTTCGACAAGTTCAATATAAACATTTTAATATAACTAGACATTTTAGATAGTTGGTACTTATAGATATTAAATTAAGTTCTTTAAAATATTAAAAAAATTTTTTAAAGGAATAATTGCTTATAAAAATACATGAAATACCTATGCTAAAATTCTAAAAATGACATAAAGATTAAAAGCAAATGCATAATAGGTTTTATTTTCATTAGCTCTCTGAGACACGCAACAAACATTTTAGTTATCTGAACAGTATTAGAATCGAGATTAGAATTATAGAAAGGCAGTTATACTTAAAGTAGGATTTTGTCTTTTTTTCATTGATCAATTCAAACTTTTCAAATATATTTTTTATAATTAGAAGGAGGTAGGTACCCACTTTATGATTTGAGTGTTCATATAACATAAAAATGTGATAAATGTATACGCATATCATTCTAGGTTTTAGTTATATTGTGCTGTTTATCAAAAAAGTGCAAAAGTTAAGAACACTGGACATTCTTTATCAAAAACCAGTACAAGGGTACGATTTATGTCATATCCAATGGAATTTACATTATCTTAGTATCTACCTAAAACCTAGGGTTGCCATACTTCAAGGTTTTAAAAATAGGGTTCTGGTGTCTCCATAAAGTGTATCAGGATGGTCAAATGTCATGAAAATATACTTCAGTAATATTTGTTACATATTATTATCTTTTTTCAAACATTTCTACTAGAAAAACTGATTAGGTACTTGATTGACAAACACAATCTATCTATAATTATTGACGAATACATTCATATTTATTGTTGTAACTCATCCAGATTTGTAACATTGAGAAAATTTTTACGGTATATTTCAACTTTAAGCGATATGTTTTTTTTTTTTTTAAGCTTTGATAGATGAGTACACTGAAAACGATGACGAAGTCAGAATTTGGCGCTTGGGTATAGTTTTGAAGTTACGACACTTTAAAATTAGATTATATAGAGTAGGGAAAATGATAAGTGAATATACGGTGGATACCTTGTGACCAACTTGAGGTGTTGTTGCATAGCTAGTCAGTCGAGCGATATCTTTGATTTTTTGGTCCGAGCGCAGCGCAGCAAGTAGCAACTGGCTTTACCCAAATAAAGGGGTGTCCCGTAAAGGAGAAAAGTTCCGTTTTTAGATTAGAAATGTATGTTGTAATGTGCCAACTGTGGAGGAGTGGTAAGATTTTTCCCATGAAACTTATTCAAAAATGTTTGTTCAGGTTTAAGTAAAATAAAATAAATCTACTACCTACAACTAATTAACAAAAAATGACTGTTAGGCAGGTATCTATATTAATAGTACGGTTGTTAGCACATCTAAAATTAAAAACCTAGAACTTACCACTAAGTTCTAAAAATTGCACAAATAGGAAGCTTGTTACAAAGTCTGTTGGTCTGTTCTGTTATTCAAACAGACCGGCGACAGAGAGCACAGTCGGTGGATAGCAACGAGCCAGCGAAACGTCCAACGTCACAGACACGGTATCTACCTTTTTACGCGTATGTAAACGTCGAGTTACATTCATTGGCAACGTTCTGCCGTGGAGGAGGCGTTCCGTCGATTACGATACACGTAGAACAGTGGGACGAGAACGGCACCGATCACGAAATTAACGGAGTGAGAAACGACGAGTGACTAGGGTTCCTGGCGGCTAGGACCGTTTTCAGATTCGCGTTGACATGCTCGCTGTGTATACGTTCACGGCGTTTATCCACTGAGCGCGGCGCCGATGACGGAAACACCGTCACAAGATCTGATATTCTGATGTCGTTGACGTTTCGGCGTCGCGGAGGAGTCGATGGTCGATCGTCGATCTGCGGCTACGATACGGTGATACCCCGCGCGCTCCGTTTTTCCATCAGTACGCACGTTTGCCGGCGGACGACTTCGTCCCGCCCCCGCTCATTCCCACCACAACAAACCACCGCCGCCACAGGACGACACTTCGTTGAGCCGGCTTCCCTTTGTTTACAACGCGATAACGTCGCGCGGGCACCCACAACTTCGAACACAGGGAACACACAGCCGGTGCACTGATAGATCGAAGCGCCGAGTTATGCGATTTATGCAAACATAAAATGCCTGACACGGTCAGACATCTAAATTTGTTATTATTACGGTCTACTGTAAAATGTGAATAATGTTGATGGTCATTTCGACGGCGCCCTGTGACCAATGGGAACGACTGTCGTCGGCTAACACGACAACCGGTCACCACGTTATCTATCCGATAGATAGGACGGACCGGGTGTCGTTGGCTTGTTGGAATCGTCCCGGGGTAATAACAATAACAATATTGTTGTTGTTCCGCGAATATTACGTAATTCTGTCGAACAAACATCGCGTTATTACATATCACCGGGGTCATCGGTCTGATGAGGACCGTGACGGATTCCGACGACAAGACCGTCGCGTCGTTGCGAATTGCGATCATTGTCCGCCCCCTCGTCAGCGGAGCCCACGACATTGATAACGTCAGTGGCGGCGAACGTTATCAACGCAATGCAATAACACACAAGTGATAGAACAATAGTGACCATACATTTACATTACTAATTACGGTCACATTCGTAGCAAATCATCATCATTATTATCATCATCGTTGTTATTATTTTAATTGGAGAATACACTGTGCGATATAGAATTAATAATAATTGTTCATCGGGATTACACAACGCGCACTCTCACGCACACGCAAGGCGACGACCAATTGGATCGACTTTCGTGGTTCGTTTGTGTAACAGGTAAACTTATTATAATACTCCTCTTCGTCTCGTCCTCAACAATAATATTATTATTGTTTACATCCATACGTTATTGTTTTCGTATATTGTAGACTCGGACTCGGTAGACACGTCAAGTGTGTTGATAACCGTGTCCTCGCAAACCGCCGCCGCACCCGACACGGCTATAGTTCGATCTGTGTGTGTGAGCGCTCCCTTTGTTTGGCGTGCCTGTATTTTTTTTGCCGACGACGCAGGACAAGCCGGTGTGGTTGCACAAGGGGCATAAATCTAAAAAGAAGAATCGTAATTTCGGTCCTGTGATTTTGGATACTCTGAAAAGAATTATTTGAGGAGGATATAATATAGGTAAGTCTTTTTTTTCCATCCCCCCGGTAAATTCGTAAAATGTTAGTCAGTGACAGAGTAATTTATTATTTGCTCAAGACGACTACAGATACTATGTTTGTGAATATTAAATAATATTATTGTAGTACGTACAAGTGCTTTACCACAAAATATCTGATGTTCTGTACATTATATTATACAATCTAATTATACTGTGTATGTGCATGTGTTACTAGCTACTAAGCCACACCATCCCATTGGTGTCAACAGCAAACATCATGATTGAACCCATGATATCTTAAGTTGGTGAGCAAGTGCAGTAACCTAAAGCTTTTTACTTAACACACAGTAGCAGTAGCATCTACGCACATCTTCTACACTACGATCACTACTCCTAAAATGAAGGTATTGTGTTTGTGTTTGATATGTACATTATAATTTATGAATACACATTTATAGACATACCTATGCATAAGCTGACAATATAAGATGCATTTTAAGCAGATCATTTTTTTTTTTTAATCTTAATTTAAATAATTAATTAATAGACATGACCAGACACTTGATGTAAAAGAAATGTTGGATTATTGGGACTTCCTTCAATAATGATTCATCGTAATATAACATTTATTATAGATGATATTGTCAATATTTTTTAAAAATATAATATAAAAATGAATCTTAGATAAAACTTATAATAACATAGGTACCTAATAATAAATATTTATAAAATAAAATTGGCAATCTCTATTTCTATTGTTTATATTTTAATTATAACATATTCTATCATATTTTATAACCATCTATACAAATTCTAGTTATAGCTATATTGTCGCTAGGCTAATTATTGGTAAATTGGCCAATAGTGAAAATAATTCCTATATACTTGCCACTACAACTTTTGTTTATTTAGTCTAAACATATTATATTATCTACTTCATGATTTACAAAGAAGAATATCACGTAAAATTATTAAAACCAAATAAAACAAATTCAGTTACTATTCATCTATTTTTAAAAACATAATACAGGTAAAGCCATTTGTTGTTAATCTTTGTGTTTTAAAATAAAATTGTTGTACCTAGGTTTTAGTATTGTATGATTTTGTGGGTGAACCCGGCTCATCAGAACTATCAGTGACTGCTGGCGAGACACTGTTGGTAACACGACAGGACGTTGGTGAGGGCTGGTGGGAAGGAACAAGTCCTTCTGGCCGCACAGGCTTGTTTCCAGCGGCATATGTTGAGGTATGTTTTTCTCATATTTTTATTTTTATAATTGAATAGTTTATTGTTAATGTATATATTGAATGCTAACAGGAAATTAAAACCAAAGCAGATGACAGAACAGATGAAAGTAAACCACCGCCAGCTTTACCGCCACCACCGTTACCGCCTTCAACAGATCCATGGGGAGTTGACGATCAACAAAATGAGTTTTATTCACAAGTACCCGGCAGTCAAAGTCAGCAACAAAATGCATATCCACATCAACAGGCTAGTACTTTAACACTAAAACATTAATAAATATACAATAAATTGAATTTAAGTTTTAAAAATTAACTATGCTTTAGTCAAATAATTTTAGGTAATATTCTTTATTTTAAACTTATTTTTTTTTCCTTAGTGAAATCTAGATTACCTATGTTATTTTATTATCAATTTAACATGATATGGTTTGATGTATTTAAATTTGTACATGTATTTGTAATTTTTGTTGTAAACTTATCAAATTGGCTATCATCAAATTATCAAACATCTAAGAGATAACAGTTTTAGTTGTAAATATTTAATTATTTGAAATTATTTGTGTTTACAGTCACCTGATGATTATTATGACGATGAATGGGATGATGATTCTGAATATGGTGGTGGCAGTACTGTGGCTTCATCTGCTGCTATACCTCCAACTATTCAGTATCCAGCTATAGGAACAAAGTCAACATCGATAAGAAAAACAACAGGTAACAAAAAATCACTAATGTTGGTATAAATATTTTAAAGAATAATTCATTAGATTTTTAAATATTTTAAGCTCCCACAATTTATAAAAAATAATTAACCACTTATAGCAGTAATATTTAATAAAAATATTAAAATACATAATATTATAAAATAATTAAATATTATATATTACCATAATTTGTCTTATTTTATATAGGCAAGACAGCTGCAACAACTGGTGGTAGCAGTTCTCGGTTTTCTAAGTTGGTAGGTGGTGGTGACGCATCATATATAATGGGTGCCATCCAGCCGCCCATCCACTTACCCGATACGGAAAACATTACAATTGTTGTGCGTGGTGGTACTGGTGGTGGCCCTATGGCAGTGGATGTTGAATGGTGCCGAGACCCCGACGATGAACCACAAGGATACCAGTGTGTGGTGGCATCTCCAAAGAAAGAATCGAAACTCAAAGGCCTGAAATCATTTATTGCATACCAAATAACTCCAACGGTATGTTTAGGTCTTACTATGTTTCTTATGTATATATCCTACTTGTATCCCTCAATCTCTCATGTACATAACAATATAATATATAAAGAATCAGTATTTAAGTATAAAATAATACTGTTGTGTGGGTTGCATGAAAAATTAATTAATTTAGGCTTCAATACAGTTTAATGAACCAATCGTGGACTATTAAATAATGTTTAAGGCAACATTAGCTCACTATTGATTCAATAAATGTTTAGTGATTGTTCATGGAACCCAGCATTGCTGTATTAAAAACTTATCTGTATTGATTTGACCGAAATATCATTAAAAAAACTTTGCAAATATTTACCATTCAATAACTTTCCACTGCTTAACACATATTATTAATTGTTATTAATACAGTGAAACTTCCATATAACAAACTTTGGTTTAACAAAATATTTTTCAGAACCAAACCAAATTAAAACAAAATTAATTTAATTATATTTAATAAAATTCTCTATAGTACAAATTGTTTTTGTTCCCCTTAAAATTTTGTTGTATGGAAGTTTTACTATACTAATTTTTATGAGTATATTATAGTATTAATTGTATAACCACTAGATTGTATGATAAAATTACAATAAGGTAATATATTCGATGTACATATATTTTATTTCCTCTTGGCTTATATGTGTTCTAGTTTAACAATATTCAAGTATCCAGGAGGTACAAACACTTTGACTGGTTACATGAACGGCTGTTGGAAAAATACTGCTGTCTAGTGCCAATACCACCATTACCAGATAAACAAATTTCAGGTTAGAAGAATAAATGAGTAGACCTACTTTGTTTATATGTCTTATGCTATGGAAAATCATTAATAAATAATATTGATTTTCAAACAAAAAATAATATATATTTGTAACACAATGTTACTTATTACACTCAGGTCGATACGAAGAACAATTCATTGAACGTCGTAAACAGCAATTACAGGCGTTTGTAGATGCAGTGTGCCGACATCCCGTGCTATCACGAGGTTGGGTATGGCGGCAACACTTTATCACATGTACGGACGAGAAGCGCTGGAAGACTGGAAAGCGGAAGGCTGAATCACGAAACACAAGTGCTGAGACGCTCACTGGGGCCAATGTATTTTTTGTAATTAGAGTAGTGTCTGCAGATGGTAGTAGTGATCCCCCTCCTCCTATCAATCCAGCTATATTGTATGTATGTTAAAATATTATACCTAATTATTTATTTAATATTTTTATCTTTTGATTTTTAAAGAGACCGTGAAGTAGATGGATTTCAGAGATTTGTGGCCGGACTAGAGGGAGCGTTAAAAAATATGGCACAAACTGTAGCAGAACAATCAAAACGTATGCAAACATGTTATAAACGTGATGCTCAAAGGTTAGGCCAGTCATTTTATATGCTAGGTCATGCATATAGTGGTAAGAAATAGTATAATATGATAGATAACCTGTTGATACCAAAATATTTACTAACTTATTATAATGTAGGAGCTTCATCTTCATCAATTGGAGATACTAGTGGTAATGGAAATGTGATAAGTCTAACTACCCGACAGCTGATGACGGCACTGAAGAAAACCGGTGATGTGTACAATGAAATGGGTGGACGGCTGATGGACGAGCTACCCGCTGCAGGATGGGACTCATTTGCTGACATGTTACATGTGTACCGTGGTGTTGCAGGCGCATTCCCTGATATACTGGCTGTGCACAAGGTAGATTGCAGACTTGTACTTGATATTATGTGTGTGTTAAGTCTAGTGGTAACAAATTTTACTGTATTTATAGTTATTTTTGTTATTTTATAGTACTATGTGTTAATCTATTATTTATTGATAATACTGTGAATTATATTTAAAAATGGTTGTGCTGAATAATCACAGAAAAGTAACCTTTTTTTGATTGTAATAGAGTGCAGTGCAGAAACGCAAAGAATGTGAAAGACAGTACTCCGAAGGTTTACCGATTGGCAGCAGTGGTGGTGATGGAGCTGGAGGATCTAGTGGTGGAGCATCGTCGTCTGGCTCTGGCAGTGGTGGGGCTGTAGCAGTAGCAGACCCAGAACAACAGCGGCGGCTACTGCGTGAGATGCAACGTCGTACTGACTTAGTGTCGTATGCTCTGTTAGCAGAGATAAATCAATTTCATCGAGACCATGTACTTGGCCAAATGGCTGGCCATGTTCGTCAGCTTTTACGCAACCAGATAGAATATTACAGAAAAGTTAGTGATACATTTATGAGGACAATATAATATAACCGTCGCTGTTTAAATTATAATCAAGGGATGGCAATGTTAGCTAGTGCGGGGGAGTGCTTGCAATTTATATTTCTGACCATACTGTTCTACACGCAGTGCGTTGCCCTCCATGCGGCAAAAAAACTAGCCATTTTGTTTTTCCTCGTATGTGTGACTATCACCTAGGATGCAGCGTTATAATTTGAAGGTGGTTTGCAATTATGATGTACTAAAACTTGAAATAAAAAAATCTATATGAAAGTGTTTTGTAAATCTACTTGAAATTTTGTAGAAAAAAAATCTGAATACGATTATTGTTGTGTGGTTATAATTTTAATGTAGCCGTGATTACAATATAAAAATGTAGGAATGATAAAAGAAAAAATATGTTAATTGTGTTAAAGTCTTTTAAGTCACTCAAGTTTTCATTTATAATTTTATTTGCTAATTGCAATTCGCTAACTTTTGATATTCATCATTAAAATATTATTATGGGGTCACTATGATACCTTCTTAAATATTGATAACATACAAATATTTTTTTTTCAGGTTGCTGACAGTTTAGAAAACGTTTTACACATGTACCCTGATAATGGTGATGAAGACTCTATAGGAGTTGGAGTAGACCATCATTATGAGCAACAACACTACAACCAAGGAATAATCGATGATAATGCGTCTTATCAACATCAATATTATTCAAATCAGTAGTAGTTTTAGTAGTTTAGTGGAATGGGTAATATAAAAAATGGTTAATAACTAGAATGCAATTGTTTTTAAAACTGCTTAAAGCTTATGTGTAACACCTACCCATATTACATAAGGTATCGTATGATTAATTTTTTTAAATTATCTTGGACTGTCATTAACGCACTAATACCATCTAAATAAAAAACTATTGTCATTCTTATTAAACATATTGATAATATTTTTTGGGGACTCACACTATAACCCCTACTAGTAATTTTACCGTTATCCCTAAATGAAACATTTTAGTCTGTTAATTGTTTTTGATAATACTTGATTATTATTTTCGTTGTTATTCCATCAGTAATTTTTTTTTTCAATTTATTACCGTGTATTAATTATATTGCTATGATTATAACAATACTACTATGCTTATGCCCATTGTTGTTATAAATGTTACTAGAGGTGGGATTTATATTCTTTTCAATGTGTAGAATATTGTTTTTAAATTTATGTTACTGTAAAAGTTGCTAATTTAACATACTCAAATATCATAATAATGATTCAAAGTTTATGTATTTAAATACATATTGCATATGTTGATAATTAGATAATGCAAAAACTGACAAATCATGGCCAATTTAGAAGTTTCCTATAGTTTTTAAAATATCAGTGAAATGCAATGATATTTACATTAAACCCTTTGTGCAACTCGATTTAGTCAGCTGATATTAAAAAAAAAAAAAATCTTTCTGAAGATCTGAAATGTCGTCCAATATTTTTATATTGAATTCTCATAATCAAGATTTGTTGAAATATCCAAATTTTGTTTATTAAAAGCAATGACAAAAACAATTGTAATTTTTAACTCTAGAATATTAATGTAAATTATATGTTTAAATTGACTATAATTGATAATATCTAACAAGTGATAATTTCGACTTCAACCTTAATATTATTGGGACCAATTTTTTTTTACATAATAAGCTATAATTGTATGCATTTATAATTGTATGCATTTTTTAAATTTAAATTGTGGTATTCGTTTTATTTACATATTTATTTATAGTATAATATTCTAGGGATATATATATATTTATTATATTTTTATTACATAATATATATAATATTTATAGGAATTCATATATGTATTTTATTTTTATTTACTTTACATGTGCCATTGATTGGGTGTTAATTATTATGTAACTTTGTAACTTAAAAGGGTCTATTAAATGCATATTAACTAAATTTATCTATAATATATGCTATGAGTATGTATTCAATAATTTACTTAAAATAAATTTGTATCCTGTGGCTAGTCTGATAAATATGTCATTATTATAAGTTATTACCATTTTTTTTCTGTTTTTTAACACCACCAATATTAGACTATTATCTTACCAACACTAATTTTGGGTGCAGTGTATGTATAATTACATGAATATATTCATATACATTTCACCTTTTTTTTTAGCTTATAATTATAGATTGTACCTATGACAGTTATAATAGATACCAAAATACAATTAGCTGATAATTTTATTTTTTATACTACATACATGTATTTAATAATAATTATTAATTAATATATTATATTGTAATAACTATAGCTATAATACCTACATGAATTAAAATATATTTGTATACTTTTATGAAATTAAATCTGAATGGTACAATTTTGTTGTGGACAATATATTAAGTTATTCCTGATTTAATATATTCATCCTAATGGTCTTAGCTGTTAAATAGAGTCCAACTGACTGTCATCAATTATTATTCATCATGACATAAGACAATAATGGCTATGTGACTAAACATTCGCCTAATTTCAATAGTACCAATAATGTGGTATCTGGCTATACTGATAGTACGATAACTGAAATTTAATTATTTTAAAAACAAGATGCAATGTAAGTTTTAGTTTAAGATAAGCTTTCTAGTTTGTAAATTTGTAATGGCAAATCAAAGCTGTACTTTTGCAATCGGTGTTGCCCTTATTTCCGAGTGTAAATATTGTAAAAAGTTACAGGTTACCGATTAAATACATAATTAATATCAAAATACTAAAGTGGATCGTTTTATAATTTTTTGGAAAATGAAAGAGTTTTCAATACAACATTGAAGGAACATTTAAGTATGTACTAGTAAAATATAATACCAGAGAAAATCCTAACGAAATGATTTACCAGTCAACCATTGTCTTATTAATGTCTTAATTTTTGTAGACACTTAAATACCTCACGCTTCCAGTTTACCTTAACACTCGGCACTCAAACAGTGTCCGAAAACAATATTATATTGAAAAAATATAATCCCACATAATATGTTATTTATAAATCTAAGAAAAAAACAAGGTAGTTTTTGGATCACAATTTTTTTGTTATTTTTTTTTTTATTTGTATTATAACGTTGGCCGATTCCAAGACTAACTGAACGGGTTATAAGTTATAAGTATGATGATAAATTAATAATATTCGTATAACAATAAATTAACAGCGCACCTATTACAACGGTAATATGTAACAGAATCACGGAATTATAATACATGTCTTGTATGTTTTAATATTATTTATAATAATATAATTGTAACAAGTGGGAAACACGCCCGGGCAAACGTTATCGTCGTTTCCTATTACACTACCATTGTCGCCGGCAGATCTTGCGTCTCCACCTCGCCCTCGCCTATGTCGATAGTACTGTGGCGAGCAGTCGTGCCGAGCGTGTCGTGTTCGTCTGTAGTGTGTGCGTGTTCGCGTTTTGCCGGGCGTTCAACTACCGCGAATTATTTTTCCGTTGAGTGGTTAGATAATAAAACATTATAACCCATTATCTCGATTTTTTAAGAATAACGTGGAAAACTCTGAACTCTCCGATATCAAAAATAAAAAACACCCACCAACGACCGCAGTGGGTGTATTCGGTCACTGGTATACCTATGCGCTAGGAACGCGCTCGGGTCAAACCGGTGAGTAAAACGCACTTACAAAATAATATGTATTATAATAGGTAGCTGTAATAAAACTGTTGGTGGAATAGAAAAATAATAAATATTAACTTACTTTGTCACGACGAAATGTCCGCCATTTAGCTACAAGTGACTGTCATATAGGTAGGTAGGAATCCACGAGTCATATAAATACGATGATAGGATGATAGTCGATGATCTACGCTCTGGCCAAAGTGTACCTACATCGTGTTTAAACGTGTGAGTACTACACTCGACGGACGGCACGGCATATTATTTAATTAATATTGTAATGACCGATAGGTTAGAAAATAGGAGCTTTTGTGAAGTTGTTGTTGTCGTATTAAATACGAATGTAGTTGAAATGTTGAAAACCTATAAAAAAAGTATCAAGATGTATGTAAATAATAATTATTAGGTATATATTATATTGGGTACTATTTGTGTATCAGCGTGTGTGGGTGAGCCGACTAAAAGTGGCTCAATGTCAATGGCGTTAGATAAAGTTTACTTCTCAAGTTCTAAGCCTTCTCGGGCATATCTACGTGTTTACGTCACTCAAGTTTATCGTATATACATATTATTTTATTATAAAGCCATTTTCAGGGGTAGGTACGCCCTGAAAAATTATGAAATAGGGAGGCCAATGGAGGCAGGGTACTAACTTAGTACTACTAACAAGTAACACATATATATTACAAAAATAGAACAAATGGTAGATTAATATTTATAGTGTAATAAATTAATAATAAATGTAAATATAGCACGGGCACATATTTGTATCAGTTCCTTAAAATATACGCTGCTATAGATACTTACAACTGTTCCATATTTAATTATAAACAGGATCTCGTTCCCTAATTAATTTAATTTAAACTTATAAATAAGTAAGATACCTACATGGGTAAATATGTTTTCATTTATTATTAACGCAAGACAATCTATTACGATAAATCCTCGGATAAATCTATTGGACGGAACTGTGATTGTCTGTAGATAAAAAAAAACACAATAATACCAAGTAAACAATCGTTTTTATTCATTAATTATTATCAGTAAATATAATCATAATTAATTATATTGCTAATTTTGCAAAAAGAAAAGAATACAAATCAATTATGTATACCATTACCATATAATAATTGTTTGTATAACGTTATCGGTTGTTCAATTCATAGAAAAATGTATAGTATGGCATTTATGTATAAAAAAAATATGGCCCAATTATAGTAGAGGAATTTAGTCATATCATTTGGAACGCTGTTCGAAGAAATTATCGGTTGAAATGACGTAAACCACAAATCGCTCGAAATGAAGTTTGACCTTATCGCATAAAAAAAAAAACGGAACACTAAAGGTGGTTTCACACTATGCGTTTTAGACGCAAGCGAACGCGCGATTTAAAAACGCTCCAAAACGGAACGCATGCGTTTATTAGTTGCACACTAGACGCACGCGACCGGATGATCATGTGTATTTACGCGCCAAATTACAAAAATTGTGATATGATTAATATGTCATATGATTGCAGTTGAGATAAAATATTCTCAATTTTGGGTTTTGACTTTTGACTAGGTATGCAGTTGTAGGCATCGTGTTATAATTTATTACAGTTAGAATGGATTCTAATATATTATCAACATTAAACGATGCTGAAATTGTTGCTATTTTGTATCAATTAAACAAAAAAAAACAAAAAAAATCTATAACATCAAGGCGTTATTGGGTACACCCTCTTAATATGAAAAGACCTCAAGAAGGGCAGTTTCAGGTTAATTTTTTGACTCTGAGGGCATACCCAGAAGAATTTTTTAAATATTACCGCATGAGAATTACAACATTTGATGAACTGGTAAGCTATTTTTAATTAAATACATATATGTATGTACCTACAAAACACATTTTTTTGTGAGTTTATCTAAACAAATGTTTACTCCATTTTTATCTAGTAGTACCTATACATTTATACATCTATAATTATATGAGGTTGGAATAATTAGTTTATGTTAAAAAAACTGTAATTTTTCAATTAGCTAACACTTATTGGACCATACTTAAAGAAAGAAGACACTATTTTGCGTTCAGCCATTCAACCTGAAGAGAGGCTATCTGTTACATTAAGGTATACACTTTTATTCTAACATATTCTTGTTACAAATATTAATTTTATGAAAATAACAAAAACAAGTCACTTCAGTAAGTACTTTAATTATTATATATGTCATATTTTATCATTTTATCAACATAAATACATATAAATGTTGGTAACACTCATAGGCGTACAATTGTGGGGGGACTAAAGGGGCTATAGCCCTTCATAATTATGTTAAGCCCCCCCAGAATTCTGTTTAGCCTCCTGTGTAAAAATGAACCAGTGTACCACAAGGAAAAAAAGGCTACCCCCCCCCCATATAAATTCATCACGATACGCCTATGGTTACACTTCATGATTTATTCAAATCAAATCAAATAAAACATATTTCTGCTTGTATACTGGACGTTTATTGTTGTAATGAATGATATAATATACATTATTAATATAATAGTCAATAGGTATAACTTTTACCTTATTTCTACTGTTCTATAAACTAATTGAAAATAAATAATTATAATGATTGAAAAGATGATGAATTATGACCTTGGGAATATTCATGAGAAGATGCATTGTAGTTTTGAGGAGTAAGATTTTGATTTTGAGTTATATTGTAATTGTAGGGTGGGAATGGAACATTAGGGGGATAAGGTCTAGGTCTTGGTACTGAAGTATATGGGTATTCATCAGCATAATATGATGGTTCCTTTGGAACACCTTTAATGTTTTTGATGGAATTAATAATTTCAGAATACAATTGGAGTTTTTGATTGCTTGTTAGCTCTCTTATTTGTGGTAGCAATGACAAAAAGAAAGATTTATCAGGATCTTCTACTTCAGGAGTTCTGTTTTTCAGGACATCCAGAAGTTTATTTTCAAAATTTGGTTGTTTATTTATTTTCTTGTTAACATTATTGTAGCATTTTCTTTTGTCAACAAGTGTTTCCTCCAACTGACCTTCAACAAGAGTTGAATCAATAGGTTCGGTATCTGCTGCTCTGTCGTCCACTTGAACCATATCATCGTTTTCACTACCTGAATCAGTAGATTCCTCAAAATTACCTTCAGTCCTAAAAATAAAATAAATTAATGGTTTAAATTTGTTTATGCTGTTTTTTATTTCTGAGTTACAACATTAGTATTAATACATATATATTATAAAATGTATAATATAACATAAAAAATTAAAATATTAACAAAACTATTCGTTACACTTATTCTGTAGTTATTTAAAATCTTACTTTCTATTCTCCATAACAGGTCGTAGAAATTCTAAAATATCTGCATAGACATATTTTTTAATTTTAGAAGCTGCCTGTCCAGATTTTGTGACACATTTTTTTCTGTAACTGTCTCTAATTGATCTCCATTTCTTTTTCAATTCATCAACTGAAAAAACAAATATTGAAATATTTTCTACAATACTATAATATAGCAGTGTTTATTTATTAATTTTTTATAATAGTATAAAGTGTAAATATAACTTCTTAAGCATGTTATTTTATAATATACCAATATAGGTAGGTAATACATTTTATTTGTTATAATCTTTTTATAAATTATTTTGCAATTACTAGTATGTAGTATTGAGTTTATATTAAATCTGTGTACAGTTGTACAATAATACACAATACACATTAAAATTCATTAGTTTTATACCAAAATTAAAATTAACTATGTTCTTATGTAGCCATGTAGGTATGTAAATATATAGATTTTTTTGTATTAAATAATAATAAAATTGTGTACAAATGTAAAACATCATTAAAAATATAGTTTTATAAATTTGATTAGTGAAACTAAAGATCCAAAAAGTTAACAAATTATAGTATTGTCTTGAAATACCAAATGTTGTTTGTTCTAGATATTTAGCAACTGGTGCAAATTTTTCAACCTTACATTTTGAATTTTTAATGGGAATTTCAACTATTTCAAAACTAATAAGAGAGACATGTGAAGTGTTATGGACCATATTACAACCAATAGAAATGCCTGTACCTACTGAAAATGATTGGTTAGATATGGCAAAAGGTTTTTTTGAAAAAACTCAATTTCCAAACACAGTTGCTGCAGTCGATGGTAAACACATACGGTTGCAATGTCCTAAAAAAACTGGAAGTCTTTATTATAACTACAAACAGTTCTTTTCATTAATTCTGCTTGGATTGTGTGATGCGAACTATTGCTTCAGAATTATTGATGTGGGATCGTATGGCAAAGAGAGTGACTGTAATATATTCAAACAGTCACGGTTTGGGAAAAAACTTTATGCTGACAAAGTTAACTTCCCCCCAGATGCTCCTTTGCCTGGTGATGAAGATGGTGTACCTCAACCATTTATTGTAGTAGGTGACGAGGCTTTTGCTTTAAATAAACATTTGTTGAGACCATTTCCAGGGAAAAGCTTGACCAATGAGAGGAGGATTTTTAACTACCGACTCTCCAGGGCTAGACGTTACATTGAATGTACATTTGGAATTCTTTCAAACAAATGGAGAGTATTCCATACACCAATTTTGACTTCTCCAGATTTTGCAGTTCAAATTACCAAAGCAGCATGTATATTACATAACTTTGTCCGGCGAAGAGATGGATACGACAAACAAGATTTAGAAAACTGCAACATTGGAGGAATAGAAGAGAGAAGGGGCGTTGGAAATGCTCCTTCAAATGCTAAAGATGTTAGGGAATATTTTGTTAAATACGTGAATAGCCCACAAAATTCACTAAGCTGGCAAAATAAAGTGATTCTTTAATTCAAACTATTAATTACTATTACTTATTATGTAGTACCAATAGTTGAAAGAAATATAACATTTTTAATTTAAGAGTAGCTTATAAAGTAATAAATATACAAATATAAATTATGAAATATTATTTTCATACTTTTAATGTTTTTGGTTTTTTCATCCAGCTCATTGAATTGATCAACGCAGGCTACAGCAACTTTACACCAGCTGACGTGTAAGCTGTCTCTGTTGTGGTGCTGTGGTATTTCTATAAAAATATATAATACAACTTTCAAAATATAGGTGATAGGTACATACATGTTACCTACTATGTACCTAATACCAATCAGATAGGTACCTAATCATAAATTATATTACACTAAATAGATAAATATTTATGTAATTGATAGGTATTCAATCACGAACATCTGATTGCAATTTTTGGACTTTTGGTCACATATTAAAAAAAAATGTATTTACTAAGAAGTATTTAGTTATAGAAGATAGGTACTTAAATATAATTATTTATTAATGAGTACCAAGTTCAGTTCCTATTCACTCCTATAATCTCCAAAATCATAAGTTTATAATTGTATACCTATTCAAAATTTTTTGCCTAGTAATATATTTAATGTACATATATTATTTATTATTATTAACATTTATATGGGTAATGATAGATTATTATTAACTATTTTGGCATGGGGTAGATTTGAATCTTCATTAATGGGGTAGATAATGTAATATAGTAATATATATATAACCTACCTATATAACCTATATAATATAGGTTCCTCCTTCTTGAAATACCTATCATATGGCTGGAATAGACTAGTTTACTGGATTTATGTCACAATATGTAAATTTATCTATAAGAAATCCCCCAAAAAACTAGCTTTTCACCAAAAAAAAAAAAAAGTTGACAAGAAAACATTTAAACCTAATTGTAAAAAAATTGTATTATATTATATTTAGTTATTTATTTATTATTAAAATAAAGAAAAAGTTTAATTTAATTTAATATTTATTTATGTTCAACATTCAAATATGGCCCTATAACTGTATAAGACACATATTCAAATCTACCCCCTGCACGTTCAAAGTTCAAAAGTACTCCAACTTTAAAATAAAAATATACTTTACTTTATAATTATAAATTAAATTGGTTATTTAATTAATGAGATTGTTATGAGTCAAATAGTATTCACAACCATCTAGAATTCTAGACTACAGATTGTAATTATCAAATACATAATTTGTCAATAAATTAAAAAAATTAAATGTAAATTTCATTCAAATCTGCCCCACTCACTCACCCTTACCTATCTTTCAATGAAACATTTTTTTGAAATAAACGTTATATGTTATTCTAAGAATGTATTACAATACAAAATACTTGATACTTGCAATCATGGGCAATAGCATGCGCAGAGTTTAAACGCAAGGGGGGGGGGGTACCATATAAAAATCTGTGGTTAGTAATTAGAGGTGACACAATATCTTTAAAATAAATGTTTATTGTTTTATTTTTGTCCACAAATACTGTTATCTAGACAACTCAGAACTAATGAACCAAAAATAATAATTTTGTTTAATAACTTAATTATAATAATATTTAATATAGTTATAGTACTTATTTTAAAAAAACCTCACCATGCCCCCATGCGCGAGCCTATGGTTGTCATACTAAGGTACATACAATATACATTTGCAGCTAACATATTAAGATACATATTTAAGTATCGAAGATATTTTCCGAATTCCAACCCCCCAAACTTTTTAGACCCATTTTGGCTAACTTCTAAGTACCTAGGTAATATAGGAATTGTTGAGTTTCATATTATAGTTGTCATGATATAGTACTTAACCAGCTACGTATACAGATGTTCATATTAAAAATAACATTCCTTACCTTTATTCCAGATCGCCTCTTCTGCTTGAACTTCAAAAATGAATTTCTCCATATCAAATATGGACAAAATTTAAATATGACTTGACTGGAGAAACGCATGCGTTTAATCGCATAGTGTGAATGATGTCGGTTTAAAGTATTATTTAATTTTAGATTGCGGGTGCGTTCGAACGCACCAAATTAAACCAGTCCGATCGAATGCGACCGGACGCGATCGACCGCACGTTTTTTCCCGTAGTGTGAAAGCATTAATTCATTCGCGGCAATCTATTTTTGTGTTGCGTTCATGCGATTTAAATACGCGCGTTCGCTTGCGTCTAAAACGCATAGTGTGAAACCACCTTTACGGATTATTATAATGATCTGTAATCTGCTCCACTCTGAAAGCTGTTGATATGCCATAAATAATATCTATATCTATAGCTGTATTATAGTTCAATAGTTGTACACACATGTATATACAATATTATGTATATCTGTGGTTATACATATTATACGGTCAGTGGTCACACGGGATTATCCTAATAAAAAACCATTCAAATATTGTATGTTTATACGCGACATCAGAAGGTACATCACGGTTGTTGGTCCTCCTTTTAATGATTTAAAGTCAAACTACATTACTAGACTAATAATAAATAATAATTGTCCCAAGTGCTTTTTTCGATATTTTCAATTTTGTGTAAAGCGGCACATATTATACTGATATCAATAATAGCCCGTAAATAAATATCAAAACGGGTTTTGATATTTTCAATATTATTGAAGTACTTTCAATATAACCATTTTACGGTCAGTAACATTGATCGTGTATGGCCGTATGGGCCGCTATAAACGGGTTGGATTTTCAAACGGATGGACGCTAAATCTCTGTGCAATCACAGCGACATAGCTTTAATTAGCAAAATGTTGAAAATATTAACGTGTGCACGTCATAAATATTAGAATGTTGCATTAACCATTAACGAAGGTCTACCCTTGTTATACAGAACACGAGGTTCCTATAATATTTAACGATAATATTAATAAATTATACCAAAGTCAAATCAACGTAAGACGTTATCGATATAGACCTTAATATAATATTATGAACTATAGTAATTAGTAATATTGTGTTCAATGGTTGTCTCTGAAAAGTCCAGTATAAAAATTAAAAATCCAAGCCACCGATTCAGTCTCAAGATAAAATTCTATATTATTTTCGTTCAGTCATTCGGCATTCCACATTCAAATTTGATGGCTTCATGCCGTCGTCGTCGTCGTCGTTGATAACGGGTCGGCGCCGTGTATCGTGATAACGAGATCACACCGCCTCCAAACACCACCACCACTACCCGTTAATCGTTATCGTACTCGAACAAAAAACGTCGGCGGACCTACTCTGTTTATTCTGTTACCGTACTCGAGTCCGACGGTTCAGGGGCCTTTGATTGTTTTGTTTTCGTTACCGTTCTACGCGTTCATTCCGATGTCTCTGTAAACATTACGACGACGGAGAGGCGTGTCCGTTTACAAGACCGTGTCTCGCGTACTACACGGTCGTCTAGTGTCGTCTGCGAGGAGACGAAAAGATATCGACGACCGTGGATTTTTTCAAGTAAGATAAGTCCATTACGAGAACGAAAAATCAACCAAATCTTGAGCGGCCCCTAGTTGTTGCCTGCCATGTGTGACTACGCTATTGACACCGTAAGTATAACACTTTTGCCACTGTCTATTTATTTTTCCTTAAACTACTGCGGCAGTTTGACTCTGTCTTACAAAAGACATCTAATCAGAGAAACATCACATATGATCAAATAGTATTGCTACATACTGTTTCCTTCCACTTGCATGCACATAGCTGTAACTAGCATGTGCGTATTATAATTTGGTGTCATCGCTCAGTGATGTAATGGTCATTGGTTGAATAGTTTAGATGTCTGAAAACCACTTGCATAACTGGTACATTGTAACATTTACCTAGTTCAAATGCAATCATGTATGTAAATTAGATTAACACGTCTAGCCCCTCTAGAATTATTAAAGCATAGCCCTTGTCGCCACACCAAAAATACATATAGTCGACTATTTCAGTGAAAAACGGGGAAAAAAATGAATACCAACACAAAAGTAAAAACCAAATATATCGCTTCTTGAGACAGTACCTGATCATCTGCAATAAATTTCAAAATGTTATCTCATTTCCTGTCAAAATTATGAATCATCAAAGTGAACATATTTGTTGATGTGTAGTCAACACCGGCAACCAGGAAAATGTTTATGATGTTGACTACCCTTTGACCGTGGGGTTTAACGTGTTAGGGAGGACACCACAATCGCATGTCTCCGTCTTACAAGCATACAATATGGGAAATTTGCGTTGAGTAAAAATAATTTTTCCTTGTTAGTTTTAATATTAGAGTGATTGTCTTATGATCAATCCTACAAGTATGAAGATTATCTGTGTTGATTCTTAATATTTTATGGTACCTACCTATTTTAATTTTTAAGCAAGTTATAAATATTTTCATATTTTACTTACCTACTCATAACTCTAGGTCTGTTAGCTTATTTCTATATTGTTTGTATTTGTCAATTAGGACTGTGTTGAAAGGTTGCTGTCTGATTAACATAATAATATGTGATATCTAACTTATCCCCTTTTTTTTATAGAGAGAAGAATACCTGGTGTGGTCCAGTGTTGTTGTTGTATTTTGTCTTATACCTATTCGTAAAGTTTGAAAATGTTCATGCAATTTTTAGCAACATTGTCTTTTAACTTTTAATTTTTTTTTTTACAAGGCTTAGGTAGGTACACCATACACGAATACCTGTAAAATTTTTTAATTTTACGTGTTTAGTAATATTTATAAGAACTGTGATAGTACCTAACAATAGTGATAGATGATAGTTTAATTTTATAAAATTATTATATATTTTTTTAAATTTATAACACCTACACTTTTAAATAGTAAAGTATATTAAACAGTAAGTATTTTTATTTTATGAGTAAGTTGGTAAGTGTTTTGTGAATAAATGTATAATTAACAAATAGCCGAAATTTAAAAAAAAACATCATTACAAAATTTATATAAAAAAAATGAATATTTACTGCTCTACCTATTAGTGGTAC